TCTAAGCTCTATAATTATTTAAATAATCTAAACAATTAATTTATGGATTCAAAGGGAAAAAGTAGATAATAACTTGCCTTTTTGGATTTAAAATAAATCCGCCGGTCTGCGCGTAGTCGGGTAAAATTGCCTACACCGGTCCAAGCTTCTTTCTCTTTCTCTTTTCCTTTCACTCTTATCAAATAGCTCACTAGAATTTATACTTTGCTTCTAACTCCCTTTCTTTTCTTCTAAGGTAAGCTAGTTAATTTATATACAAAATATATAATATAAATATTACAAATATCTAATTTTTTTCATCTACTAACCATCTTCCCAACCATATGGCTTCAATTCCACCCATAAACATTGATGAAATCCTATCCTAATCTCTAACTTCATCATGACATTGGTTTAATACTATTATTATTATTATAACTATTATTATTATTAATAAACTTTTATAATTATTATTATTATATTATTATTATTATTATATTATTAAACTATTATTATTATTATTATAATTTTACATAAGAATACATTATAACATCATAATACTTTATAACACAAATATAATACTTTAATTAACTAATATTGCTTAATTAAACATAATCAACAAATAAAATTAATTATAATAATACATGCACAATTAAATGAATAAATTTACTATTTTAACATACACAATTAATTTACATGTACCATTAAATGAACTTAATATAACAATGCAGTATGCACAATAATAGGTAAAGGAATCCACACACAATTGAATTTAAATAACTAAACTCTTTAATAAATTACGGGGTATTACAATAATATAACATACTACATAATATTATATTACAAAATTAAAATAATTCAATAATTTACTAATATAACATGTTTCAATTTCACATAATATTGAAAACATCAATATTTAACATATTATCATATAATAATGTATATAACATTATTTTATTATATCTCATTTATTAGTATAATCTCTACTTGTTTATATCTTAAATAGAAACAGATAATAAAACATACGCAACGAGTGAGTCTGTCTTAAGACTGTTGGTCAATATATGCTTTATGTGACATTTAAGATATAACAAAACTTATACTAATATGTCATGAGATAATTAATAATATGCTAAGAAATAATTAATTAAATATGCAAAATAAAGCAATAAAATAATAATAATAAATAAAGAACTTGGACCGAGGCTAGTATTAGATACTATGTCCTTAAGACAGATTAGCCCCGCTGTGGTACTTATGGACTCAGTGGCGTCTATCTCCCATGATACAATGGTTTACATCTACCAGTAGCAGCACTACAAACTTGTGGATACGGCGAACCTGCTTCGTGTAATACTTTCTCTGACTCAAAAAAATGCATCTATACTATATAAAAAATGAATTGGGTGCAATCCGAACCAAATGGCTCGGACCAAATTTAATATGGCTCAATGAAATTGGTTTTTGGCCTAAGTGGCTTAGACCACTTGACCATGGCTTGAACCCACACCCATTTGTGTTGGGTTTATCTTGAGAGAGAGAGAGAGAATAATGAATTGTTATCCTTAAATGGCAACTAAGGGTGGGTATTTATAGAGAAACTGGTGCCCCTTGGTTATTGGACGTGTCCCTTTACTCGCATCCCTTCTACAAAATATGGTTTAAACTACCCTACACACCTATTCACTTTGGGTGTGGCTATTCACTTTGAATAGACATAAGTTTGGGTTGCATCTCTTCCTCTCACAATCCTTTATTGCACCTTTTAAGTACAATGCAACCCTTTGGCAATTTTCATTCAAAATACCAACAGATATATGGAAGGGTACTTTGGAAATTTTAAAAATAACTCCTGGAAATTTTAAAAATAACTCCTGATAGATTCGGTTACGTAGAATTGGTGTATTGGAATTAAAATTAGAAAAATATTAATTTATACTTCCAATTAAATTTTCTCTCAATTTAAAAATACCAATTCTATTCAACCAAATATAACATTACATAATTTATTGCTTTGGTAGCACCAAATCATCGTATTCGATTTGGAATTATAAAAAAAATTTAGTTCAAAATTTAAATCCAAAATATCGATAGGGTGAGCACATAAGGCTAATAGATAACCAAGGCTGCCCCTTCCAGTCCTAGTAGGGGGTGGAAGGGCATTGAAGAGGCCTAATTGTCATTCTTACTTTTTTCTAATTGTCTATTTAATTACGAATATATTCGAGATTATATTTATATTAATAATATTAAAAAAATTAATTGCTTATATAGATAAGTCTATTCTCTATCACTCTTTGACATTATAACTTTTTAAGGTGATATGCAAGCATTGTTTCTTTTTTAAAATTATTAAGTTGTACTTTTAAATTTAAATATGTGTAATACGAAATTAAATTTTTGTAAAAAAATTTAAAGGGTAATTATGAAAAAATAATTAATTTGGGATATTTTAAGGAGGAATTACTAATATATATATATATATATATATATATATATATAGATCCATTTTCGAATTTGTGGTATTGTTGTCCGTGACTTTTACTTCATAGGTTCACTTATAATGAAGGGTCAGGACACGCCCTAATTAAGGATCCCGACACAACTTTTATCACATAAAAAAATAAAAAATAAAAAGCACTTATCAGAATATAGAAAGTACATAAAGTTCCATTGTACAAAATTTTGGAGTTACTTCATTGTTGAAATGATGCTCCATTTAAAGTTCCAATTTGAATCCCCCTCCCCCTCTCTCACACACAAACACACACTAATTAAAATGGAGGGATTGTGGTTTAGGTACACCCCATTAGAGTCCCAGTACCCAAACATAATTTTTATATGTGAATGTTTGTTATTATTATTATTATTTTCTTGATTGAACACGACATAAATGTAATCTTATAATACTTTCACGATATAACAGGGTAATTTTAAAATTATTTTTCTCACAACAATGCAATTTCAACACAATTTAAAAATATATTTTAGGTTAATTACAAAGATGTTATAATTGTTTTTAAAATAAAAATAACAAACATTTAGTTTTAAGCTACCAATTAGTAATTTCAGAAACAGTAATCTAGAGAAATTAATCAAAAATTAATTTTTTATATAATATATTATATATAAATATTTTTTTAACTTATTCATACCATATTCGTGTTTTATTTTGTAAAAAATTATTGTATCGCCTCCATATTAAAATTGTGTTATACCGTGATTGAGATCAATATTAATTGATTAATTAATTTATAATTTATTTTACAAACAAAACAATATAGGCAAATTACACTAACCTCCCTCGTAAATTGGATAAATAAGAATGCCTAAATAACATGGTTCTCCCTTGTGTAAAAAATAATACTAACCTCTCCTCCAATAGTTCTGGTCAAAGTAACATTACTATCATAAACTCCGTTAGTATTGTTGCTGATGTCATGCTTAAAAAAATCTAAATTTGCTTGAAAATACATTTATGTCTTGTGTAAAAAAAAGGCAATAGACGATAAAGATCAATGTTATTTTTGAAATTATAAAAATATAATTTAGACATTCTACAAGGATAGTCATCCCAATTTACCCAAACAATATTAATATGGCTGCAATACTTACACAGACAGGCACGCAGTCCACACATAACAGTACTATTTCTTCTGAATAGCAAATTTAATGCCTTTCTTCCAGCTGGAAGTTTTTGCTATTTGTAGGACAAGACCAAAAAGAGTGGAGCATTAAAGAAAATTTCATAAAATTTAGGTATTTCTCGAAAGTTGAAATAGAACGTGCCCTGCACGCTGATTCTTTGTTGTGCTTGTGCCCATCATGTTGTTATTCATTCGAAGTCCAACAACCCATATCTATATCTATATCTATATATGTAGCAACTAGTCAATTAGACTCAAGTGTTTAGTGTGATTGGCCCAAATTTGGAAAAGCCCATTAAGAGTCCAAGCCGAATCATGATTATGCAAAAGCGTCTTTACAGAAACAGCTCATACAGTCTTGATTTTGCTATCTTCGTAGGAATATTTATAACGGGAGGCATTTGGGCCTGATAGGCCCAAAAAGTTCACTTATTGTGGTCAGATTTCAATTAATGTGGTTCACTAATGCAAACCCATTTGTCATAGAATGTAGCCCAAAACTGTAGCAAATTGTGCAATATGCACCTACAAATAAATGCCACTTTTTAGGGGCGGAGTATTTTGTGAGTCGACTCAAAAACTAACTTTATCTGTTTCAAAATAGATGTTCATCTTGAAAATTGTGATTCACAATTTCGTCTTGGGAAGTGTGACTCACAAAATTATGAGACACAATTTCCAAGATGAACAACTTTTTTGAGACGGAAGTAGTAATTTATAAGGTGATGTTAGCACTCAACCTGATATGCTCAAGATCCTCCCCATCCGGATTTAATGTGGGGTAAGAATCCATAACACTAGCATAGGAATAATCTTATATTTGTGATTGGGAAAAGGTCAAATGTGAGTGATAGAAAACCTTTAAAATAATTATTAACTTGATCGACAAAGAATTAAAAAACATTATTTTATTTTATTAAGTAAGAATTAAGAAACATTATGTGCATATCCCGCACGGTATCCACTTAGAAAAAATAAGAAATTATTATTATTATTTTTTTAATCTTGGCAAATTAAGGCAAGGGAACTCGAACACAAGTATACCTGTTTGGAGAGTTAGACACTTTACCAATTAGGACTACTAGGTAATGCCGGAAACAAAAAATTTCATTAGCAAAGTTCTTTCTAGGAGGCCAAGAGAATACTACATTTCACATAAATAGTTGTATTTACTACCATATGCTCTTTACTTGAAACAATAAATTAAATTCATGTCTTGGAGTACAACAAATTAAGCTTTTATCTATTATATACAGTTTATCTTTCTAGAATATAATAATTATTTTACAATAAAATGATCAATAAAATTATTTTACAATTAGTAAACTATAAAGAATGAACAAATTCAATTAACATCTTCATCAAATAGGCTAATTATATAACAGCATAAATGATAGACTTGTTCTTCATGAATTGGATGTCAATTTCTGTTGACGCGATCTTCGTTCTTGTGACAAAATCACAGCATACCTACACAGAAACAACCACAACATATGATTTAATTAATTTAATCTACTCGTGCAAGAAACAAACAAATTAATTAATTAAGAGCTCTAATTGAGAATAATATATATATACACAATGCATGTTTGATATATATAATTATATATATTGCTAACCTCTTGAGAGCTTCTGCAACTGTTTCTCCATTTTCCAAGGGCTTTGGCAGAAGCTTCATACCAATTTGTCACAAGTTTTCTCATGTTCTTCTTCGTTGAGATTTTGAGCGTCACGGTGTTCCCTTGTAACTCATCCTCCTGCAAGTAAATTAACCACCATTGTAGTCGTTCGATAATAAAATATATAGATTTTCTTACAAGTTTCTAACTTCATATATTAAAAAAAACTCCCTTATCCATTTCCCTCCTTTTTCTGTTAGGTTTGGAAATCCTGTATTTTACATATCCATACGATTGAGTTCTTAGGTTTCCGAAATAGTATAAAAAGAAGTGCTTCGAATAATTACTATTTGACCCGGACCTGTTATAAAAAAGTCGAAATATTTCGAATTGTTTGTTGACACGAACAAAGTCAGGGAAAACCTTGAACGAAGAAAAGGATTCAATGACTTCGAAAGAATTGAATGAGGAGCCGTATGAGGTGAAAATCTCATGTACTGTTATGTAGAGTGGCAGCAAGAGTGACTTATATGTCAACTTTTCCACTGTCACCCCAAAAAAACCATAAAAAAAACTAGTAATGTATAAGAAATTAAAGAGAGAACCGGACCTGGATTCGAAGATAGTTGTGCTTAGAACCTAGTGCTTGTAAGAGGACAGGCATGTGAAAATCAACCATGCGAGAACTGGCTTGAGTGAATGCAGCAACTATAGGACTTTTTCCGTTGTGGCGCAACCATTTGAGGACTCCCCATTTTGCAGCTTTACTAGCACTGTATTTCTTGTCCCTCTTCAATGTTCCGGTCCCCAGTGAGATCACCAAAAACTTCCCATAATCTGAAGGCTTTACTGGGAAAAACTCAAGAGTTTTCTTTGGCCAGCTTTTGGGATTCTCTACTCATAGCCAACAATGCCTGCAACAGATCAATTACCCATTCAATATAGTAGTTATGTAACTACTCAAGTTCACGAGAAAGTATACAATACCCGGGAATATTCACACGTGGTACTCCAGCTCATGGACATTGGACAGTCATCGGAACTCTCAATTGGTTGAGATCCGGAGTATTGTATACTTTCTCTAGAAAGTTCAAACACATATATGTATATAAAAAGAGAGATATGTATTGAGTGAGTTACTGGATTGCCAGTGGCAACAGTACCATCAACAAGGTTAAAGGCCTTCAAACACCCATGAGTATCATGAACTTCAAAATAATATGGGGGAAAATATGTAGTTGTAGCTGTTGAGCCAATGCTGATGTCTGATAATGTTGCATCCTTGGAGATGTCTGATTTCCCCTGCCATGAGGTACAAGCAAAATATTACTATTGTTTGTTTACATAAATAAATAAATGTATGTATATACACGTGTTAAAATCTCTCCGGTGACCTGTATTCTGTGTTGCACTGAGAAAGGCTGAAATCAACCTCGCAACAGGTGTCAACCCTCCCAACTGCACTGCGGAATACACGTGAACTAGATAGTGGTGCTCACAGTCGCGGTATCGTACGCGGTTGGGGTGTAACAAACTTTGATAAATATCAGTATAAACCGACCGAATTCGCCGGTTCATAAAAGTGTGTAACGGTATCAGACTCTTAAAATTGGGTTACAAAGTGACCGATACGCGATACGGAGAACCATATATATGGGGTGCCTGTTCATATATACACATATATAAGTAATATCTCTTCGGTGACTTGTATTTTGCGGTATACTTAGATCGAGATCTGATATCAACTTAGCAGCAGATTGATCTCCGCCTTCTCGATCAAGTGCACCGGAGTAAGTACATGTGCACTATGCAAATTAAGCAATATAGAAAATGACCTCATTGGTGGAGAAGACTATAGGATGAAGTCTTCTTATAGCAAAGGCATGAATGACCAAATTAGTCAAGGCTTGGCTGATCCTCGTCTCTCCAAACATGGTTCGGATTTGATCACGCAGATATCTTCCACTGTGCTTGGGTCCAAGCAGATCCTTCACCATCATTCTAGCTGTTACAAGGGGTCCTCTGCAACCATCAAGCTATATAAATTAAAACACTTGATGAGATTGTATTAATTCATAACTTAAAACTCAATTTCTATACCAAAATATTGCAAGAAATTCAACCTCAAACCCCCGAATATTTTCGGAGAATTTTCAACGAAAAACTTCAGAGTCTCTTTCGCAGTATACAGAGGCGATTATCTTGATTAGGAGGTGAGCATCGCCGCCATTAATCCTCCTGTGCTTGTGCCACCAACCATATCAAAATAGTCTGCAATTCTTGCTTCTCTGCCATCCAGTTCCTATAAAAAAATAAACATATATGGTAATTATTCAACATAGAGAGGCCAAATATGGGCATACAAGATAGGATAGCTACATGCAGACTAAATAGCCCGGGGCACCGTGCAAAGCAACCCCACACGCGTCGGGTAAAAATATAATACCAATGTACCATGTGTACCCTTTTATTTAGTTATTTACAATAACACACCAAATGATCATATATATATATATATATATGGGTTGTCAGAGGTTGGTTTGGGGTACACAAATGATAAATTCCCAGTTCCATTTACAAACAATATATATAAAACACACATGTTCGGGAATTCTATATATATTCTATATTTTTAGACAATCCCTGTATATATATAAAATCAAGAGTGAATTTACAATATGAACATGAATATAACATGGCTTCCAACACAAACATGAACTTAAACACATAAATTTTGGATTTGAGATAAACTCTTGAAGATGCAAGAAAAATACTCTCTATTTAGAAAGAATAATTCTACACTACAAGAAATTTTCCAATCCCCTTTTTTTTCCATTTTCAGTCTATTTATAGATTTTTACAAATCTTTCTAGAAGCTTCCTAACTAACTTCTTGCATTGGGCTAACCTTTTGGGCTTCTCTTGGTTATGGGTCCAATTCCTTTTATCTGAAGTCGGGCTTCCAACACGATTTTCCAGTCCAAGGCTTGACTAGTGAAGACTTGGTTCAGAGCGATTGCTCTTGCCCGACCCGTTTTTTGCAATCTGGATCACGCCCGGCCCAGACCATTTTTGGTGTCTTTAATTCTGAACTAAATTTTTTTTAATTTCAAATCTAAGTCGCCGATTCGATACTTCTAGACATAATTAGAGTGTAAATTAAATTTGTGCATATGAATGAGTACACACACATATACATGCATACGAGTTTATGTATTTATGTAGAAGAAGAGAGAGAGACCAACTTGAAGCTGAAACTCCAAGAAAGTGAGTATAACAGAGGGGATGATGGCTCTTATTCCTGTGCCATCGATTGAGAGAATTGTGATATTTTTTCCAGCAATATTAGTACTTTCAGACCCTAACATTCCCGCCATTTCTCTACGCAATATACTTAGTGTCGATATCTATAATTTTTTTATTCTCTCTCTCATTTATCATATTTATAGCTCATATAAGCTAAGGTGCAAATGTCAAATACGATAACTTACCAAATAAATAAAAAAAATAAAAATAATAATGTGGAATACAATAGGCACATGCAAGAAACATTCTCGTCTAATTTGCAGTCTTCTTTGATCCACCATTCATTCTCATCCGTTGACCTGTCATTAAAAAGAAAAAAAAAAAAAAAAAAAAGAACAGACGTTTGGGACACTTAGACCTGCGATGATTTTGTAATTATTTGTTATGTAATTTAAAATATATTATGAACTAATAAAAAAATAACATAAAATTTTAAAAACATAATTAACAAACGTGTAAAAAAAAAGGGGGTAAATTTTATTTACTTTCTTAAGTTTATCAATATCCTACATAAATCTCTATTGGTTTTCCAGATTCCCCGTACCGTTAGGACACTTGACAAAGACGAACATAATTTGCAAATAGAAAATGCATAGCACAGTTTTGCCATACTAGTGCGGACAGTTTTGCCATACTAGTGCGTGAAATGATGGCAAACATATGATGGACAACATAGTAAAATAACACACTATCGTTGCCAAGTTGAACTACCCGTACTAATAGGGAAGATAAGTGAAATTATGAAACTAAGAGAGACTCTATGTAAAATATTGACAAACCTCCTTTATATATATATAATTATATATATATATATATATATATATATATAAATGATTTTATCCATAATTAATTGAATAAAATGAGTAAAATCTATTATTTATATATATAAATTAATATATGATTTTTTATTTTTTTATTTTTTATATATCCATGACTTATTCATATCTTATTATTCCTATTGAATTGTACATCCTTTCTTCCTTGTATTATTATTATTATTTTAACACATATATAATATAATATCATATATAACAACTTTTACTTTTGTAGCTGACGAGAGAATGAAATGCTGAAACCTTGGATAAAGAGTAAGACATGTTAAAAATAAAATAAAATAAAATAATAATAATAATAATCTTTACTAGATGACAATTACACGTGCCTCTGACTAATTGATACGTACATAGAATATATGTATATACACACAGACGCAAATTACCAAGTACACAGTATTGAATGTCCATCCATAATCAATCTTCAAATAACCTAATTTTAAAAAAATAAGAAAATTAGTAAACCACAAGAGAAATAGTCATTGTAAAATTCATTTAGTGTGGCATTAACACCTATAACATACTTGTTCCTAACAAAATGATCACGCTACCTTCATAAATAAATGTTATACAAAACAACATGAACTGATGTATCTGGCAAAATCACATAGATAAATTATAAAAAACACATATCCTCATCCAAATTGAAAAAATTTATCTTGGAGAGGCAAATCTATATATTATAATATATTTATAAAAATAATACATAGATTATCCGCCACCGGCAAGCCCGGAACTGCTCTGCCAAGCCAATTTATTCTTTTGGGTGGAATGAAGACTCTGAAAGAATCTGGTTTCTTGTGTGTTGTGTGGTGCTAGGGTTAACATTGGGTTAATATCTCAGCACCATCCTTTGTTATTAAGAGGGTATGCTCGAATTGCGCTGACAAGCTCGCGTCCTCTGTAACGACTGTCCAATTATCGTCCCAGATTATGGGATTTATGCTGCCCATTGTCAGCATGGGTTCTGCAACAAAAAAACAAAAAGCATTTTCCGTAAAGAAAACTCAATAATTATTCAAAGACGGCCAAGTAATTAAATTAACCAAATGGTTAAGAGCAGTGAACATGTGCATAAAATTACTCCATACATTTAGTAGTAAGGAGGATGCCAGCAATCACATTTGATGAAACCCTTTCGACTTTTTCATCCTCTATCGTTTCAGACATGAACTCGCACAAAATTTTAATTTTTCATTCATTACAACCACTGTATCTCAAAATCCTAAAAAAAGGATTTCTTAGAACCTACAAACATGGAGAATCCTTTCCCGCGATGATATCCAATACTCATAACAAACTACCGAACCCCATGACTTTTCTACAGCAACCTCATAAAATTTATCCAAGCCAAAATTCAAAATAACATTTAGTTTGAGTTAGTTGAGTTTCAAGTTAAGAACTTGAGACATACGAGCTTTGAGAAACAGATAGTTGGATCTCTAGCAGATATAACTAAATATTCATTAAAAACATTTAGCTTATTGTATGTTTAACAATTTAAATAATAAAGTCAGTTCTAAACCGACATGCATACATAAATTTTACCAAAATAAACTATCAAAGAAGATGAATTATGAGAAAATTATCTGAAGCTGGTGTCAAAATAAAAAAGTTCTAAAGAATTTTTAAGTGTACTGGAGGGAATCATGAAAACTATTAACAAGAGAAGAAGCACCAATAGATGGGTTAAACTTTATTCCAAATTAGCAATTGAGCATTATATGTTGTAAAAACTAGAGCAACTGTCAAAATTCTCGACTCCGCCAGCTCAGGATTAAAAAATGTGCACATATATACTATCCTCAAAATTGATCAGTAATTTCTATGAGTATATTATATGCAAGTGTACATATATATGCATTCGATATACATCTTAAGCAAGTCAATTGCTGAAGGAATTATGGTAAAACGCCGAGAATGAAGATACAATACCAATTGTAAAGGTTTGATTCAACACCATGCGTCCACTTTCGTTGTTCCCTATATAGACAAAAAATGTTTATGTCAAAAACAAGCAATTAAACTCTCAGAAAGGGGGGAAAAGGTGCATGTATTATTAATGTCTTAATGCAGGGGTGTGTGTGTGTGTGTGTGTGTAGAGAGAGAGAGGAGGGGGAGAGGGATTTTTGATTGCATAATTCGAAGTTTTTTCTTTTACCAAGTAATTTAGGTACTGAATCATAAAACCAAAGCTAAGTCTTAACATTTTTTCTCGTGAGAGAGTAGAGAGTGTTTTCAGAGTCCTAAATTTCACATATCTGGACTATCTTTTTTAAATCTAAAATGGAGATATGATGAGATAAGATCCTATAATCAGAAGTAAACTTCCCGCAACTTATATTCGATCTGTTCGCATGGTATAAATAGAATAGATATACAGATGACATCAATCCTATAGCTTGATATAAAACCAAATAACAGAACTGGAACAATGTTGTATATTAAAAGCTCAGAGAATTACTGCAGTGCATAATAACTGGATCAGAATGAAAAACGCGGCCCACTCCATGGCCAACAAACTGTTCTACAACACCATAACCGTGTTTATCTGCATGGTCACTTCAAAAGAAAAAAATTAATTTGGAGCAGGTATAAAACACATATTCAATTATTCATACAGCAAGTTACGAATCCCAATAATCATTGCTCAAAATAAGTTATGTGAACATCAGGTTACATATTTCCTAACATCGAACGAACAACTTAGAAGGATTTTCCTGCACCATGCAGTGACAACTGGATATCGCAAATAAGAAAAACAAAGTTCTAGGGCAGAACCATAAGAATGTTGTAGTGGGCTAAGACACAATATTAACTAGTACTAGAAACTAGTTCGCCAAGTAACCCCTTGATGTTACCAGCAATCAGAAAGACAAACTAAACCAAAACTATCAATCTATCAAGAAGGGGGGAAAATCCAAATCAAGGGCATTGGTTACAGGAAAAAATTGTCAAGAAGGGTATTATAATTTTCTTAATCATTTTAGTAGGAAAAGAACTCTAGAATCAATCAAAGGAGACAAACGAGAACTACAGAACAAAAACAAAGGCTTTAGCAGATGCCTTACTGTATTGTTTTGCCAATTTTCTTGTACTCCACTCCTGGTGCACATATTGATATTGCCTTGTATAAGCTTTCTTTAGTTACCTAAAGCATTAAGACAGAATATCATTCTCGTGGAGCACAAGTAAGCTTCACAAATGAGTCATAAATGAACCATGAAGGGAACGGTGACTAGAAAAGGTCAAAGAAAACAAATAAATAAATAAGGAGCTCATAGCATCATCCTAAGTAATTTTTGTGCTCAGCAAACAACATTTAACTTCTCAATATAGATCTTAGCATCTACAAATCCTAAAGCATCAATGTCCAACCAATCTAAGGTCATTGACTTATTGCAAATGTTTTATAATGTCACTTTATAAGCAGCTCCCTGATACAGCTAAAATTCAAATACTTCTTTGTTGTTACTTTTAGGTGTCCTCAACTAGGAAATTGTCTTAATAGGTAAATTTTTTTGCAGCACCCCTTGCCATCAGAATTTATCAAAATTGTCTTTAATCATTATCCTTATTTTATATTCTTTTGCAGCATCCCTTCCCATCCTGACTTGATCATTAGGTATTCTTTCTTACTCCAACTCAGGAATACACAGAAACAGTCACAGTGATAAAGGTTCTGGGCTGAGTAATCCAAACCTATACTCATGCTTATATAGTTTACTTTAGGTAGAGTAAAGTTAGGATTGATTAGATTCAGGCTTGGTATGTCAAACAAAGATGCTGTAAAATCATTGACGACAAATTGCATTAAATAGAGTTATTTTATATGAGATTTTCAAGACACCATCCTTTAAAAAGAAAATGAAAGAGAAAATTTAGACTATGGACACAGCAATGAGGTGTCCAATATGGAAAAAGTAGTAGAATTAAGCATATTTTAAGCTTTGTTACACTTAGTTAACCACAAATTCAGACTTCATAGCACTTAAAATGATATTAAAGAGATCTTTTAATGCCATTTGCAAGGATATTAAGATCCTTAAAGTTTGGTTCCCAGAAGTAAACTTCAATTACTGAAACAAACCCGAGCTGAGTTAAGCCCCAACTTAGCAACTCAAGGTTGTCACTTAAGTAAATCCAAATCTAAGCATCCTAATCCCCAAGCTCATTCGAGACCACTGCTTTGCTCATTTAAATCCCTAAAGATAACAATGACCGTTGCTTTACGCAGGAGATAAGTAAATTATATTTCAATAACACATCATTTGCAAATAGTCAGACTATGTTAGATGGTTGTTTCTAAATGTGGGAAGTATCCATGTCAAAAAAATATGGCATGGGTATGGGAATCGGGACAAAACATGTGCAACATGTTTGATCAGTTATGCAACCAGAAGCATACCTGTACAAAGTTTTTGGTTGCGTCATCGACGTCTCCACAAAAGAATGTTGCTGATGTATCACCATGATAACCCTGTATATTAAACAGTTTACATAACTACAATACTAAAACTCAAACATGCCACAACACAGAATTTTAATTCATCAACACTTTTAAATGAAAATATTAAGGGGAAAAAAGTATTTATTAAATTTATGAAATCAACTAGAGCAATAAACTCTTGTTATTGCACAAAAGAACATTCACCATGGACAGCATAAAGTAAAAAACATCACTTGCTGCAAAATCATTCTTTAATGTTCTATGATATCCTTTGATGTAATTCACCGTTTAGAACGACAAATATAAAAGTTTCCTAATTGTTCTATGATATCCTTTGATGTTCTAATACAGGGGAATAACCGAGAGAAACAAAATCCTTCCCACTCTCTCTCTCTCTCTCTCTCTCATATTGAGGGAGGGGGTGAGGATGGGGGTAATTAACTGACTTAACTGAAATTCTATGCAAGGGAGATTAGTTTTTCCAATGCATGTCATAAATGCTCCAAAATACGTAAGAAAGAGTTAACAAATCCTTACTAAAGCACGCTAATTACTTCAACGAATTAATGAACACAATAATAGTCACCACCTGCTGAAAAATTGACACACCCGATATTTTGCTTATTGGATTGTCAAAGCTGGCTAGTGATTAGCAATTTAGCAGTTGGCCGGATCAGTAGGTAAAGAGTGTTTAAGCTCCATGGAAGATTTAAATCCATGTCTGTCGACTTTACAACCAGAACTGATACCGTCTTCAAGATCACTTTGCATAGATATCAGACATTGTTTATACACTAAAAATGAGGTGAGTGGATCTATTCTTAGTTCATCAGAAAGTAATGGTTCATCAAAAAGTAACCCCAACTTGAGAATTAAGTCCCAATATTCATGAACAAATTTATGACATTACCCAAGCACAAAAACTACCAGAACCATAATAATAGAATTATATCACTTGATCAACAATTAAAAAAAAAAAAAAAAGAAAGAAAGAAAAGAAACAGTTTTTCAACTAAATATAATTTCAAGAATATCCCCAAGTTATTTCAATCTAGAACCAAAGTTTCCTTTCCATTTTCTCATAAAAAATTCATGTGCTCAAAACAAGAACAACCAATTTTTCTTGTTTTCTTTTTCCTCATTTATTTAGGTGAGTGGTAAATGGAGATAACACCAAACAATGAGAATTATAATTGCTTACATTTAGATAAACGGTAACATCAATATTGATTATATCACCATCCTGCAAATGACAACATGTATAAATAAGTTTTGATTTATTAATATGATTGGCGTCATAGGATAAAGTAATTCAAGTACTTCAATTAGACAAACCTCAAGTGCACGGGAGTCTGGGATTCCATGGCAAATGCATTCATTCACCGATGTGCACACACTCTTCGGGAATCCACCATAGCCAAGAGGTGAAGGATATGCTCCATTGTCAATAATCATTTGGTGAACAGCTTGATCAATTTCATCTGTCATTATGCCTGGCTGCCAGTGGAAGCAAGAATTAGAATTTAGCAACTCCAGATGAAGTGAATTGCCTGTCTCTTTATTCACTTATGCATGCACATACCAATCCTTTTTTCTTGTTCCTTGGCTCAAACAACTACCAAATCAATGTAAAGCTAGACTGCAACAGCAAAATCATATCATGCATGCTGTTGAACCACTAGTAAAATACATTTCCGACAGCCAAGAGGATAACTGAGAAGACCAGTCAAGGAAAAGAAGTACCAACTTTCAGAAATCTAATTTACCCTATCCAACTCCTATGAAGCCATAAAAAACATAGGCTAATCTAAGCAAAACAACAAACTAACAGAAAGTTCTCCCCAAAAGTTTATTAGAATGCAAAATATGTGGTAGAATGGCTACGTGATGATTTTAATTATAATAAAACTAAACAATATAATTGAAAGTAAATCATCTTAGAAGACCGGATGAGAAAGGAAATCAAAATGTCACCTTGACTAAAGTCCCAGCATATTCAAGAACTTGCGCAGCAAGTCTTCCAGAAGCTCTCATGCACTCTATCCCCTTCTCATCATGCACCTCTACTCCACTCGTAATTCCAGGTGGTTTCCGAGATTTGACATAAGGAGGCTTTGTTATGTTATCTGGAACAGATCGATGAGGGGACAATTTTCCCGGCCTTAGACGTTTACGCTTGGTGTTTGGGAGTTCATCTAGATTTCTGCTATTTTGAATTGAAAATCAGCTCTCAGAAACACACCCAAAACAGATAAGAATACAATGGGCTGAAAATCAAGAAGCTAGTAGAATTCCACAGATAAGATGATTTAATGTACACCCCTTGAACGAAAACAAAATCAACCAAAAATAATTTGTGTGACTTTCATAACATCTGTCATAATTTGTATACAACAGATGACTCTTGGTACAAAAACAAGCAACCATTTCTTTTTATCATGAGCATCTTTCCCATTTAAATTGTAGCGCAAGGGCTAGGTATTAGATCAGAATAAAGAGCCAATTCATATGTAAAATCTGAGTCAATGACCAACAACCAACTCCTGACAGTTTGATCGACAACTTTACTTTTGTTGAACAAAAGATACATACTCAATCAAGCAGAGTGGCTTACCAATTTACATGGCATTTGAGCGCCCCATGGAAACTTAACCAATTCATCCTCAAGGAATCTATGGATGTAACTGTAGGCTCCGATATAGAGTTAGCTCAAGGCCGTGATCTAGACCTAGAGGAAGGGGGGTAAATAGGTCTTGTTTGCTTAATTAATTAAATTTTGCTACTTTTTGAATTTAAACAAATATAACTAATCTTCAAAGATTAACCAACTAAAAAATAAGTAAGTAAATATACTCATCATAATTGAAAGAATGTAAATGCATAAATATAAAGCAATCAATCAATCACGTGAACATGCAGATTTTTACATAGAAATTCCATGGGAAATAACCACGGGACCTAATCCAGACAAACCGAATTCACTATGAGAAAGAAGTATATAACTAAGTTACCCAGATTCCCAAAGACTAGAAACTCTCCACTCAAGTCCTTGCCACTATCAACCAATAGATCCGCTCCTCACGCAATCCACTTCTCCTTCAACACTTCAATCTCCATGACTGGTATCTAAGCTTATGTTCATTACATAATTAAACTTTAACATTGATTACTCCATTAACACCAAAATCAGATGATCAACACTCACAATCTAGAGTGCAATGATAATGTATGAAAGAAACAAAATCTAGCAATAAGAATGTCCTAGAATGCACTCAATATGCTCAAAATCTCTATGTCTTGGGTATGAATAAGCTTGCCATATTTTCTAGCCTCATAAATCTTTATATAGAGATTAGGTTTAAAAGAGATCTTGTTTTGTTTAAAAACTGAATTTTGCGAGTCTTGCTTGGTGGAGACAAGTGTCAATGCCAGTGGTTTCCGATTGGTCATCGATTGATCAATCTGACTTATCCTTTATAAGAATAGGATTGAAAGTTTTAAAAACACTTTTATGCATTTCAAAAAGGAATTTTATGCATTAAAACACGAAATCTAAAAAAAACCTAATTGAATGAACGAATATGAACATGAAACCTAATTAGTCAGTGCATAACTGAGAGTTGTAATTACCTTATTGCCCTTTAATGTAGCTTTGACTTCCAATTCTGGCCTTGGATTAAGGTAACACAACTACACCAACTTTTAAAAATTCCAATCACAAGCTAAATTAAAGATACAAATTCCAAGTTTTGAATGAAAATTTCTGACATAATTCCTCTTGACTTGACAATTCTTTTCAAAATATGACTCCAAATGAATATAATTTGCATTTGTAGAATTTAAAAGTGCAACTATTTTTTCTTAGCATTAGTTTCAAATAAGGGCATTTTAGAATATCAAACAAGATTTTTTGATTATTCTCGATATCAAATTACCAACCTTTGTAATTAAATAATAAGTTATTACAACAGAAAAGTTCCACAAATATTCAAAATTGCACTAATCAATGTGTCCATCTTTAATCCTTTCTTAGGCAAAATCAAGAAGTTAAAGTTTAAGAATAAACTTGTTGCACGCACTGTTGTCAACTGGGCCATTCCATGAGGATTGTCATGACTGACTTGCTCACACCATAACTTTATTCTAAAGGGCAAGCCTGTTACTTTATTCTCCTCTATTCAGATTCCACCAACCTTTATACCGATTAACCACATTTTTTTCTTGTTAACCTTGATAACAGATAACCCAGAAGGCATCATATCTATAATTCATTCCAAAGTCCCCCTTTTAAAAACGACATTCTTCTCTTGGTACTCACCATTCAACATGAAATAATCTGAAGATCTTACTATTATTTTTTCCTCAAATGCAGTCAAATTGGGTAAAATATATCACATATTACCAACATATTTTATATATTTTTTTCTACACTTGTATGGAGGAGTGGATAGGAGAAGGATTGTAAATGTCTATATCATTAGCATCAACAATAGAGATAAAAGAACTTCTGTAAAAGTAATAAGGGAAAATTACAAAGGTTTCCTTCTATAAGACCCATCAAGTCCTATCAATGAACAAACTTACTATTACTTTATTCATTGATAGGACTTAGTGGTCTTACAGAAGGAAAAATAGGACTCCTTTGTAATTTTTCCAAGTAAGAATGTCATTTACCTTATATATTGCGTCAGAACTTTCAGAATTGCTTAATGAAGCAAGCAGAAGGGAAGCAGTGATATGAAAGTCATTACTTTAACTGATGTAACATATTATATCTCTACTGTGACCTTGGCCAATTCGGTTGACACAAATTTAAGGCAATGATAATATGAGAAAAGCATGATATCATAACACCAGAAGAGCAACATTGCACACAAATGCACTGATTCTGAATATACCTTCTATTGAATAAGAGATCAGTTAAGCCAGAAAATGTTTTTGATGACTGCATACACACGTGTTTGCTTCCTGTGCAGAAAATGGAAAACAAGTCAAAATATAACTATAGTTATAAATATTTTGCAAGCCTCTAAAAGTCAAATCATGTGTCACTCCATAAACTAACAGCTGATAGCATTAAGAGGTTTTTATTAACTAACAGATTATAAGGAGTTTATAACCGGCATCAATGGCAAGAAGGTCCAAGTTTGGCATGCCATGTCAGATTTTAATTGGAAGGTACATCAGTTCCAATAATCCAAGGATGAGTTTCTCTAATTTTCATAATCTTCTAGGCAAGTGTAGGCAGAATGCATAACAAGTAGTTATTTTCAAAATTGTAAACATATGAGGCTCATGAGTAAATCAGCAATTTTGATTTTAGCAATTTTATTGCCCACCAGGGGAAAATTTTCCATTTAATGAGGATATGGGGACCTCACCAGTCAGGTTAATAGTTAAGGTGAATTTTGATGCTATATTATAAAATTTTCATCATATTACTAATGATGTAAAAATTATAAACTTTTTTTTTTTTTTTTTGATAAGTGATGTAAAAATTATAAATTTAATGACAAATTTTGGTGCACTCAACATTATCATTAGGTTACCATCAAGCATTTCCATGACCATGAGTGGTATCTCCTCCACTTTCCAAAAAGGAGTTTGACGGTTCAAATCCAAAATGCAACAAAGTGGATCTGAAAGTAATACCTGCCAACCAAAAATTATTGTTGATAAAGGTTTTTTGTGAGATGAGGAGATTATTCCACGTAGATCAAGAATGCTGAGATCGGTATCCAAGGGGGGATCTAAGCAACACAAGGGATTCTCTTTTGGCAAAGATTAAGAGAGGGAAAGCAATCATTAATACCCCGGGGAACTCGAGCTCGAGAATAGTTGAGTCAGTTGTTGTATTCGGTCCTTTTTTAATGACTGATTAATGCTCCTATTTATACTACTTGTCCCTCCGGTCAATGACTTCTAGTCACGTGGATAGTTCCTCTTTTGCCCATAGGTTTAATGACCTTACCTCCTGACAGATGGGACATTGGTAGGTAGCCCGAGGCGACCCGTGTCTTAGTTCGAGGAGGTAATGATGTCCCGCATTTAATGCTGGTCATGTCAAAGGGTCAGCGCATTTAATGCGTCGTCTGTCTCTTACTTGGAGCTCGACCTTGGGTATTAACAATCCTCTCCCCCTTGTGCTAACCTCGAAGCGAACCTTGAAGCGAGGCGACTCCTTAGATCCCAGCCGCCTGTCCACTATTCCTCAGAATCCTGAGGCCAGAGATGAGGAAGAGGGCTCCCTTGGGGTTCTGCCTTCTAGACCCCTGAGGCTCCGTCCCGGCTCCGCACCCAAAGCCCTTCAACCAAGGGGACTCGAGGTGGGAGAAGTTTGGGTGGAAGAAGTTCAAGCACAAAAAATGAAAACGTTGACAGAACTAAAATTAGACCTTCAATAGAAATAATTTGAGTAGACTCATTTCTCATATAAAGTTTACATTCTTTAGATTTAAAGACATGGTACACTTGTTATTATGTTCGGAAAAGCCGACACATAAGCTACTGTTTTAATTTATATTGCTTTAAATCATTACCTAATTCAAACCAAACTCAATCCGTCACAAGTTACAACATTCTCTCCCTCAACACTACCTATAAAAAGTCACATCACCCAAACAAAGCCTTAAACTTATCTCCCCATACGCAAAGCAAATTCAACATTATTCCGTCCAAGACACCAAAGTGGTGAATTTGCGGGATTTGGTTACCAAACCAATCCAACTAAAGTAGTGAATACTAACTGTTCTTATGTCAACAAACTCACCACCAATTCTCCATAAACAGTCATAGACCCTAAGCCTTCTTAAAACTAAAATTCACTCACCACTGTAACTCCTTCGCAATATAACTCGTACCCCTATAACGGAAATCACTTGTAAGGCCAAACCCAACAAGCATTTTCCATTTTATTTCAGCAGTGAAATTATACAAGTCATGGACTCAATTTGCACAAGCTAGGGTTATTTGTTTGAATGGCTCTGGTGAGTGAACTTATTGAAAAATATTTACTGGAGACCAGATCAGAACTATACACACTGTTACACATAAACAAGGTTCTACCACTATGTTCATCTGACAAATAAGATTCTTCATCTGGGTACTATTGTATTAAACAATTTAACAAGGCATTAAAAATAGTGAAAGAAAACAGTCACTGGGTACAGATAATTTCTTTTAAATTATTAACAAGGGAAGAGCTTGATCATATATAACAATCATGTGTGTGTGTGTGTGTATAGAGGAATAAAGAAAGTGGAGGAAGGACCTGGATTATAGCGGAAGAGTCGAAAAAGAGGGGCTCTTGAGTGAATCAAGCGGCAGTCACCGATAAAGGAAGAGAGAATACGGGGTTGAAGAGATGAACCGCCCACCATTTTTTCCCACGAGCAGTTGCTTCCTTCGCTTACTTCCTCTTTATCCGTTGCTTCGCATAAATAAAAGACAAATCCCTCGCCCTTTTTTTTATCTTTCTTTTTCTATTATTTTTTTATTTTATATATATTATTATTATTATTATTATTAACCCGCTAAATAATGTCTCAACAGGGAAAAAAATTTTAGAAAAAAATGTCTCAATAAAGTGTCCACTGGAGAAAAACCTTCTTGCTCTCAGCGCAGCATCCCACCTCCACTAATAAAAAATGGGTCCCACTACTGGTATTAGTGAGGTGGCATGATGCATCGGGAAGTATTTAGAGTACCCATTTTCTAGAACATTGCACACTGTTATGTAGGTATATATATCAAAATGACAAAAAATATGGATATAATAGAGGGGGAAAAAAAAAATATGGGCCTTTCTCCTTAGAGGATTACCAAAGAGTGTAACTGTATATAGGGCTGCAAGTGAATTGAGCTGTTCATAAATAACTTGGATTCGACTAGGACTTGTTTGTTAAATAAATGAGTCGAGTTTGAAATTAATTTCTAAGCTTGTTTAGTAAACGAGCCGATCCCAAGCAATGATGGGCTCGGCTCATGTAAGCTTGTGAACATGAATTCATGTAAACTCGTTTATATTTATGAATATGAGCTTATGTAAGCTCGTTTATATTCATAAACTGTAGGCTCGTCATAGGGTTCGTTTACATTTATTTTTTATTTTTTAATAAAATTCTTTAATTTTTGAAAGTATAACATAAATATAAAATAATTTACTAAATCAGCTTGAACAAATTTTGACTATAAATTTAATTTATTTTCTTAAATGAGCCGAACCCAAGCTCAATTTTTTGAGCTCGTCATGAGCTCGAGCCAAACTATAAGCAAACGAGCCCGAGCCCAAGCAACATAAGGCTCGATTCGACTCGGTTTATTTGCAGCCCTAATTGCATATAAATACGTTCATGAATAGATATTTGTGAAATTAATAGTTGTAATTTAGTTGGTATTTAATGGGAAAACATTTTGATGCAACAAATTATTATTATTATTTAATGTTGATTTAATGAAATTCAATGTCGTCATTATATGTAAGTGTTTTTTCTCTCCTCAAAAGCGATCATTTTTGTAAAGAAAAATGATTCTTGCATCAAATAGTTGCAGGAAATTGTTAGACCTACTTTTTTTTAATTGATCGATAATTAAAAATTATTCGATTAGACAATTTACTGTAAACGTATGGTGTGAGTATCACTACTCCTTTGTAAAAGGTTATCCATTTTTATTTATTTATTTGTGAAATTCCAATATTTGTTTGTAGTAGCTTCTACTACTACATTATCCACTCATATTAATCCACATCCTAAATTAATTGGGCATATTATTTTTTTTTTGAACCAAATTAAGAAGAGAGGGAGATTTTAAATGGGGGTATATTTGAAAAGTTAGGCGCCCTGCCAACTAGGTCATAATGCACTTATTTTTGTCATGCAGTGATTGATAAGTCAAAACTTTGGTCCGGGTACCCGCTAAACTGATTGGAGATATTGGGCTTTAGGTTTAACAGCACAGGTCCAAGTTAGAGATGGGCTTCTGCACATTTATTGATCCTCTAAACCTTGGTGGATCTATAACACGGGTCACTTTTACGTGACTTTGTGTGATTTGTTTGATTGAGAGCTGCTATTCAAACGGGTTAAAAGCTCAACCAAGCCCAACCTGAACTTGTTTGACTAGAGTTGGTGGAAGGAATTAGCTGGATTAGATTCAATTGGTCAAGGTTATTTTTGAGGTTAAATGATAAATTAATATTAATAATAATAATCCTCTAACATTAGGTTAACTTCATTTCAACTTCAACCACCCACTCAATATAATTTGAACCCTTGTGCAAAAAGATATTCTCGAGTTTACTTCTATAAGTCCAACCTCTTAGATGGTGAGTATTTTCGGTTGTCTTCGTGCCTCAAGAGATAACCAAAAATGCTCACCATTTAGCAGGTTAGACTTTTAAGAGTAAACTTTGAGAAAATTAACTATTTTTTATGTCTAATACATATTCGTCAATTTATATATCTCTTTTGAAATTAAGATGAATGTTGCTGGCACTCTGTAGGTACAAGACCAAATCAAAATGACATATGAGAGGGGGGGAAAAAAAAGAGAGTGTAGGAAAATTACAATTCTTAATTTGATTTTATATTATGGAGCAATGTATCTTTAAAAAACTCTGCATGCCAATTTTTTTAAATAATTTAACTTATTTTTTTCATTAACAAGAAACACACACTCACCTATCAATTGGATCATATTCTATTCACGTTACAGACAAGTTTGAGAGTAAAAGACTTCATTCTACTTGGAATCTATGCCCTTTTAGTTGAAAATATATACACTAATACATACTGTATTTTACTACTTGCATTTTTGTTCTTTTCATATTCTTTCTAAAGAAATGAAATTGTAATTTGAAAAACAAATAAGGAACTTAAAAGTTGAAGAAAAGATGGTGTACTCTTTCTAAAAACATAAGAAGGTCTGACCTACCAAAATAGGCTCGCCAAAAAGGGTGATTGACGAGCGCGGATACGTGAATCGGTGTCTTTTGTTCCTTGATTGGTTGTTGCTTCAGAATCGCCACATTGGATCGGGTCTTCTACTTGTGTCAATCGCTGAGTCTAGACGATATAAACGCTCTCTCTCCAAATTAGAAGGTTAAGTAAAGTATTCAGTAGTTAAGTCGGGTTGTAAAGAAAAGGAAAAAATGAAATGATTTGAGATAACGAGAAATGTATGATAGAACTATATAAATTCAAGCTTTGCAGCTGTCAAACAATTTATTGAACAATTGAAATTTAGATCATTACTCATACAATACAAGGCAGTTAAAAATAAAAAAAAATAAAATAAAATCTTGCATTTAACACAATTGCTCTTCAAATACAACCATACAGTACAGTAAATCCAAGTGTAGAACATATTCAGATGTAAATTTGTGATTTATTGTCACAAACATTGTTGAACTGTGCATTAGCGGTTAGATGGGCCCAAATCCACTACGAGTAGATGGTCCGTCGTTTTCAAGGTCCAAAGTCTGGAGTCTCCACAAATTTTGGAAGCGTATGTTTTACCATGAGTTAAACAAATATGGCTCAGTCGACCCCTATTATTTGGGCCGAGAAACATCATGTGGGCCCATTCTGCCCTAAACATTGTAAATACTCTGACGTGATAGGGTGGTGGATGACGTGTCATAAGTTATACCCCACGCTTTGATACTCTGCGATCATGATTGATAACGACGCGCACGTTCGGTTGTCTAATGATCGCCAACGGCCGCCAGTGGGCCGTATATTTTTTTATTGTTCGAGATAAGTATATATTGTCGGCCCATTACAATTTACCACACAAGTAAATGTTAGTTCTCGCTGTTCAAAAAAAAAAAAAAAAATGTTAGTTCTTACACTACTTAGTGATAATTTTATTTAAATTTTTATTTATCATAATGTTTGGAAACATATATTCTTTTCTTCTCAAATTTTTTTTTTTTATTCTTAAAGTTGGATGATTACGTACGTATATCTAATTGTGTGTACATGTGAGTAATTTGAACAGTTGTGTTACAACGGGCATGCCCATGGGATTCCGATCCCATATAATAGACTAATTAAGCTAATTTAGATATTTTAATTTTAATTTTTATTACATTTACAATTTATATTAAAACTTCATTTATGTAGTGTTTTATCAATATATTGTCTTATTGCTTAATGGTATCTCTTCTATTTTTTAAAATAGATGGCGAAGGCAAGTGACTGATCCATTATAAGTGATATTAGAGCGGATATAATCTTTGATCAGGTCACATTAATTGCCCACCCGAATGGAGTTCGAGTTTGAGTTATTACCAAGTCCTCTCGTAGTTAGAGGGGACGAGTACGAATAATAGGTAGCAATGAAGGCATTTTCGAGTTCAAAGGAAGAATGGAGTTGTTTTAGACTAAATTCATGTAAAGTGCTTTCGACTTCCGGCAAGGAAGAATGGAGTTGCTTAATTTGGACTCAACGGCGAGTATTGTTGGAAATAATTACGACGATCACTTCAACCCATTATTAAACTTCTGATCAAGGCTCCACAAAAATAATATAGTCAGCAACAATTTGAACATTTGACACCGAGTTTTAAACAACAATCTGAATAACTCTAGACACGTAACTAACTAGGGTTAAGATAAAATTCACATATAGGTTACAAAGAGTGTCTATTGTTGTAAGCAGTTGAACATTGCATAGTTAATTATAACTCAAAATATTTGTAACCAAGGTTTGCAGTGGTGGTATCGGTCACGTTACAACGGACTCGGGTAAGTATTGGTATTACATAACGGTATTGGTTATAGCAGATGTTAATTTTTTGGAAACTTATAACCAAAATGCACCAATACACGATTTTTCTAAACATAATTCGATAAATATGAATTTTTGATAAATTTTGCTTAATTTTATTGAACTTTTAAAGACCATCTAACAAAAACAATTACTATTAATAAATTTTAAATTGATGTTATTATTAAAATTACTTTGTATTATAATTTTTATTAAATTAATAAAATTAAAATAAATTTAAGTTTGAAATAAATGACTAACCATATTATTGAACATGCAATTTATTTCCAAAATTAATGTCAATATTTTTTAGAAATTAGAATAGTACCTAATTCACCACCAAAATAATGTGTTGGTGGATTTTTATTTATTTTTTTCTGTTTTTGTAGCTCATTTTTTTTTATACAATATTGCCTTCAAAATTGATGCCTCTATTTGACTCATTTCAAAGTTTAGAACATTGAAGCAATAAGTCATTGGTAGATTAAATATACTTGTTAGAGCTTCATAATTAAACGTTAGTCGTGGTCCATAGTTAAATTTCTCTCGCAAGAAATTAAGAACCCAGATTAGGAGAGAGAATATGCACACAATACATGAGTTGGTTCACATATTTATAACTTGGAATATGACGCTCCAGAATGATTATGTGTTTGAATTCAAACACCATTTATAAATTGGA